ATATAATCCATTATACCAGCGTGTCAATCTATAGTACGATCAAGTAAGTCTCTTCTTTTTTCTTGCAAAAACATTTTCTGGTGATCATCAAACGAAAAAAGAGCGTTTCATAAGCCGAATGCTTAATATTCCATTCGTTTTCGATAGTTGAATATGTAATTCTTGAGTCTTCTTGATTTACTCTGATATTAAAATTTGAGAAAAGTTTTACTGAAAATATTAGAATTAATAGTATGATTCAATTTTTATGAAAAATAAAATAAAATAACAGGATGTTGGTGTGCATGGGTATGGATGTAGTATCCATTAGATAACCAGACCCATATCCCACATCCACACCCCAACGAAAAACAATACCATCAGTCTCTGCAACAAATCGAATGGAGTGACTGATGTAGCGGGAAATATGTCATTAACTGCACTGTGGATAAAAATAACCTATTTTTAACGGAAAAAACTTATATTTACTTCAAGCACCGGTTTTCTTTCCCTTTGTTATGGCTTGAGAGACTATTGCTGAGAAATGTTTTGCTTTGTGAGTCAATAAAACAAAACTTAAAAAGTGGAAATGTGCGGGCGGATGTGAGTGTAGGTATGTGTGTAAATGTAGGTAAGTGGATGTGGATAGGGTGTGGCTGTGGGGTATGGGCGTGGATTTGTGACCTGTATTTCGTGATCACTCGACATGACTATAGAGATTTTTTTCTAGAATTCCGATTTAACTTTCTGTTACGATGGTTCTAGTTAAAACTCAACCCTTTCACCGTTCAGAAGTAATATTTTAATCTATGACATTTATCAAATGACTCCATATTATTCTATCTTATCGCTCCTATGAATAATCATGTTCTATTTCTGTTTTCATACCCTTTTCAAGATTGTAGGTAATCTCACACAATAATATTGATTTATTACATCTCGTAAAGAAAAAAAACCATAGTGATGTATGCAAAACGAAAGTCTTTTTTGTTCAGATATTAGTCACAAAGCGCGCGAAAGGAGAGTGAAACATAGTGACAATGACGGCACATATTTTCTTTTTCGTTTTATTTAGCATATGACATGCAATCATAAAAAGAGTCACGCAAATCATAAAAGAGAGATTGAATATTGACTCGAATAAAATACCTTTATTTATCCAACGTGGAATATTCGCTCGATGGCAACTGAACAAGATCGTAGCTTAGGAAGGATTGAAGAAGTAAATTATGTACAACAACCTAACTCTATACTCCTTCCTCGACAAACTTGTATTCTAGTGCTAGACTTGGAAACCGTTTGGGAACAAGGCACTAAAAAGTTGCTGAGCAGATCTGGCCACTACATCATTGAATTCGCCGCTCAAAATTTGTCTGGAAGTTTTTATTTTCGTTCTGCTGTTAAGCCTGAATCAACTGCTGTTTTAGAGAGTTTTCCTACCTGCAAACGACCTGAGCTTTGCAGTGAGGTACGCAATAGTAATACTCCAACTTTTAAAGAGGTTTGGACACAGTTTCTTCATCAAGTCTATCAACAATATGAAAACCAGAATATCCTTTTGGTGGCACACAATGACTTTAAACATGACTTTCCTATTATATGTAAAGAATTACAATATCATTCTTTGACCATTCCCAATACTTCGAATTGGATTGCTGTTGACAGCCTGGACTTATTTTATACTTATTATCCAAACAGGGATTCATATAATTTACGTTCATTATTCAAACAGATCATGGGTGAGGACATGGAAAACAAACATACTGCTTCTGACGATGCCAAAGGTCTTGGGATTCTTCTAACATTTCTGATGGGAAAAATCGTGGAAGATTATGATCACTTTATTTGTATTATTAGTCAATTCTCAAGAACTTTCTTCATCAATCAATCTTGCTCTACGCACTTCCTTAACAATTGACAGCCTTCGCAACGTATCCTCTCACAGTGAAGGTCATCGCGGACTCGACACCATCCATTTCATCGACCAATAGTGTTTTAAGTTGTGTCGAGAGAACATTTTCCTTTATATAGAAGATGAAGTGCTGTCGCAAATGTGGTGCGCAAAATATTATAACCAAGAACGCGAACAACAAATCCATGTTTTATTTTGCTCCAACTACAATAAGACTGACAAGGGAACCGCGTGAAATGATAGATCGCCTTTGAAGTTAGACTTCGCTCATTATTTAGGCGTCGTTACGACTCTAAAAATTCTAAAATTATTCGTTCTCATAGGTTGTTCTCCTCGAGTTAGAGCAATTTTATTGTATTTTGGACCTGTTGAATGGCAACGGAGACGAAATCGATAAAAGATGTTTTGATCGGAGTTTCTACCAATAGATAAATCTGATGATAGCTAGAATGAACCAAAAGTTTCAATGACATCGAGTATTTAGTTTACGTGATAATGGGCTCTGGGAAAATCTAAGATTTTTTGACACTTTAGTAAACTATATACTTTTTAAAGAAGCCCTATTATCTCGAGAATGAAACGCTCGTTTTGGGTGTGGGTGTGGCTATTTTGAGGGAGAGACTGTCGATGTGGGTGTTGACAGAAGACTCACACCCAGTTTAGTTTAGTATCGGTATGAATCTAATGTGACATAAGATAGATACTTGGATTATCTAAAAACAATCTAAATAAGTTGCATACTATCATTTTATTGGGTTTCAAACTGACATTACACGATCGAAAGATTTTGAAACTAAATCAATATGTATTTGAATTCACATATGTTTAAGAGCTTTTTCAGAATAAAATGCAGGAATTTATGGAAAATTTCTATGAAATACACGATAAACACAAGATATCTTATACATGTTCAATATAGACGTGAAAAACGAAAATTTTAAACTTTTTTCATTAGTCTGTTAAATTTGTCTTCAAAAATCCTTCATGTGAGAATCAATTCAAACTTATTCACTGTAAGAAATAAAAATCGAGCTGCGATTCATCGCTGACAATACGAATAATCTGTCAGATCCAAATTCATTCATTCATTCAATTCGTCTGTAAGTAATAAATCTCAGATATTTTCGGAGCTCGTTACAAAAGTGATTCATAGCTCATCCTTGTCATACTTAGATTTTCTATAAAAAGAAGGAAAGACGCAACGATTGTTTCGGTTGATTATTAGCCAATGTAGTCGGTCATGTTTGTTGTGCACGTGTTAGCAGACGTGCACTGTTCTATTTCTCAAATTGGTCTATATATTGTTAGGTCTTCTTCTCCCACTTTCTTTAGGGAGTGGGTGTGGAAATATCTCAATAATTCAAGAACTACTACACTCACCCATCTCACACCCTCAAGAATATCATCGAATATATAGTTACAACTACATTTCGTAGTGTGTGACACAAAAAGAAAAATAGTCTCGTTTGTCAAAGCAATTTGTACTTCCTTTCTCTAAAAGCAGTTTTCTCTTTTATTACTTTTTTATTTTATCCTGTGCTTCTTTTTCTGTTGTGACTTCTATTTTTTATTTCCAACTTTTCTCTTGCGTTCTGTTTTGAATCATCTGCGCATACCCACGAACTGTATTTGTTTTACTTCCTAGTCGATGATTTAAATTGTCAGGTAAATCAAAGATGATAGTGGCACTCTGGTAAGAAAATTTCTTTCATCTTCATTAGAAACAATTTTTCTTTTTATTGAATCAACCGATAATTTACATCTAGTCTTAAAAGCTCATGAAAGCTTAAAGAAAAAAGTTACCAAATAAAAAGAATCATCCAAAAACTGAAAAATTTCCGTCATAGCAAATGAAAATGGCTAGAAAAACGGTAGGCATTGATTTCGGTACAACATATTCATGTGTTGCAGTATTTCAAAATGGAAAAGTTCAAATCATCTCTAACGAACAAGGTAATCGAATAACACCATCCTATGTTGCATTCACCAATCATGGACGTTTAATCGGTGATCCAGCTAAAAATCAAGCAGGGTATGGGTGTGAGTGTGCGGGTGTGGATGTCTGTCTTCTCGTGACACCTATCGACACCCACACCCACACCCTCAAGCTTAGGTGATAAATGTATTATGACGACATTTTATGAGGAGTAAGTTTGAATGAATATTACCCTGACTACGGTTGTATGAAAGAGCTTCGCAAATACCCAAACTCACACCTACCCTTTCGAAGCGAACATGGCGAAGGATAACATTAAGATGACGATGTAGAGAAATAAATGTGTATGTGTTTTGTTAGATAAAAAGTATATGTCTTTCTACCGTTAAAATGATTGTATGATGCAATCATTACAAGCATTTTACTTTTCTTGCGACATGTAAATACAAATTGTTTCTTAATCAAGACATCCTCCTAAGAATGCAGTATAAAATGAAAACATTTTTATTGCATATAGGACATTGATCTGATCTTATAAACTAAATCAAATGAAATTTAGCACAAAACGGCTTCATTTTTCAAGTTTAATAATAACAAAAAAATAGTAACAATTGTTAATAAACGGTTGCAATAGAAATTATTTAGAAATGAATTGAAAATTAAACATATTTTCAATGTCTTTTTTAATTTGCACTTATATTTCTATTGATCCAATCTCTCTTTCAGCTGACATGGAATTAATGAATTTTTTAAAATCTCTGAATTGCAGTAATTAAAAGTAATATTCTGATAATGATTGTATATCATTCCATTTTTGTTCCTCTTGCCATGCTAGAATTTTTGACATTGGTCGAACACAATTTTCTCTTCTATCAGCTGCTGGAAATTGTAAATTTGCTAATTTTTGTAGTCTTAAATTTCGTACTTCTTGTTTCATGTTTTTGTTTCTTCGTATTTTATAAGTTGATAATGAATGTAAATAATTTAGAATTTTTATTAATTCATGTCGTTGTTTTGCTTTGTCAGTACTATTACACCAAGGAAAAGAATTCAAAAATTTACTATCAATATATTCAGATACTGCTTGAATTAATAAATATAACCAACCGTTATTTTGTACTTCATGATCATTCGTTCTATTCTTTTCTTTTTCAATCACATTAGCTATTTGCTTTACTAATAGTTTTGATAATGGAAATTCTAGAATTTCACGATCGTATTCACGTTCTATAATCGACATTGCAAGACTTGCTAAAATTTGATCGAAATTAAATTTATTCGAATTCATTATAAATACGCAACTTGCCAATTCATGCTTTTCACTAATTATTGCATGAGATTTTTCAAATCCTTGATAGAATAATATAGCACATAATAATCTACCAAAATTTGAGTTTAAATCAATTTCACGTTGAATAATATGTTGAAATTCTGATTTTTTATCAATATTCTGGTTATGAGGCGAGTTAATCTCATTTTGACGTTTATTAATTAATTGCGTTTTCAATGTGAATGGCAAATGAGAATTCACTAATAGAGGATCATCACTAGTAACCATAATTAATCGGCTACCAACTTGAGAATCTAAAGTTGATTTATATACATATTTATTTCCATAACCAACGGTCATAAAATGCATGGAGTTTGTATTTATGGTATTATCATAAACGCATTGATATAAAAATTTATGATCTTTTTTTTCAAAATTATTTCTAATTTTATTTCCCTTCTTAATTATTTCTTCGATACCAGGTCGTCTGAATCCAATACCAGACCATAGATGATTTCTAGCTTCAGATTTTGTTTTTTGTTTCATATTAATAAATTGTAATTTATTGTAATCAAATAAAGCAAAATCAAAGTCATTCAATTTACAATTACCGATACAAATGAAACCTGCGTTTTCCGATGAATTCATATGTTGTAAAAGTAATTGAGAGCTAATTACTTTGAATGTTGATTGAGGATTTGAATAGATAAAAATAATTAAATCTGTTGTATTCAACCAATTTACATTCTGATTATAAAATATGCCATATCATTCAATATCCCAAATTTGACTTGAATAGTTGAATAATTGAAATAAGTTCTCATAGGCAAGAAATTCAGCTCGGCTAAATTGAGAATTAGTAACTAAGAGTATATCGGTATGTACATTCGGGTTAAATACAGGAATAACACGAATGTTATTTGTATGTCTTTCAATTAATACGTCGCGTAATAATAAGTCTATTGTCCAAAATAAGTCTTCATAAATTTGTTTCTTAGCAGCGGCATCTAAAATAATTTCAAAACGGATACTTCTTTTTGACTTGGGCGTAACTCTATCATTTATCTTATAGATACCACGACCATCAGAAGTTATTTGATAAAAACATTCCTCATTCATCGGTGTAATTTTAATTAAAGAATGCGTAGATAGTATGAATTCTATAGAACCAGCTGAATCGAAGCATGCTCCGTATGATCGTGAAGATATATTAGTAAAATTGACAGTTACAATGGCTCGTTCGTTTGGACCTAGATATGATGGGATTAGAATATCTGTAATTTGAATTGGATATTGACAGATTAAAGTGGTTGAAACTTCACTACCAGTGAATAGACGGTTCAATAGATGAATTTCTGATGTTATTTGTATGGGTTGAATGTATGACCGATTCATCGGAAGAGCAGATATAGAATTTATATGGCATTTGAAACGATGTGAATCACATAAGACTTCATTAATATTAGCACTAGTCAATACACTAACATCATTTATATCATTAGAGATATATTTCGTAGATCGGATTGACAATACAGATCCATTGGGTAAAATCATTGCACCATTATTTGTCCACTTAATATTTGTGACAAAAATATCTGAGTCGGGCTCGTAGATTTCATCTTGATTTTCATCCGTGATAATATAACAACAAACAGTAGCATGATATTTATCAGAACCTGTCTCCAAAATATTATCATCTGCATCAACTAAAACGTATTGAATCGAACCATCGCTTGCAGGACAACCATCGATGCCAGCAGTACCTTTACTACCTGAGATACCAGAGCTGCCGCTGTCACCGTGAGAACCATCTCTACCCTTGGTACCTGGCGACAAGCCGTATCCGGCAGGTCCACCTGAACCACCGCTCCCGTAACTGCCACCTTGTCCTCCATCACCTCCTTTGCCTTTTTTTCCTGCTCGACAATCCATTTCAATCAACATAAAAAGTCGAGGATCTATACTTCGAACTTGTACGTCACCACCAGCACCAGCATTTCCTCCATTCCCTCCATTTCCTCCAGATCCACCATTACCTCCAGAACCGCCTTTTTGTCCATCTCCACCATTTGCCCAGTTGCTACCGCTATATCCCGGTGAGCCATCTCGACCATTACCACCACTTCCTCCGCTCCCACCATTTCCTCCTCTTCCACCTTGTCCTCCATCCCCACCATTGCCTCCAACAGCCTCAACAAGAATAACTCCTTTTGATTTAGCCAGTTGAAAATTATAATTAGCTTCATTAGGGACATCGGAGGAATTCAAGCGAACATTAAGGGAAGGCTCAAACAAATTGTCCAACTTTTGAAATATTTTTAGTTGCACATTTAAATTTTCGACTGTTCCATGTAATCGAATCAATGCATGTTGAGAATCTGTACCAGATTGACCAGGCTTACCATCTAATCCATTAGTACCATTGCCACCTTTAGAACCAGACCCACCGCGGTATCCAGAACTTCCCGATATTCCTGATGTACCATTTGAACCTGAGAGACCACTAATAGAAATTGTTTGATCTACAGGCTTTATCAAAGCTCGACTACTAACACTATTTACATCAAAGCGAAAATTAGGTAATTCAGCTTGCTTTACTATACTCATTATTGTATGTCAATATAGATGTATGCCAGAGTGTGTTTCTTTAATATTATTAGACTGAATGAATTGCTTGGTAAAAGTTTGAATATATTTAATCGTAGCAAACCCTTTTTTCTTTGTTCTATTGACATACACTTATGAGTCATGTATTTTTTCATTTGCCTTTCATTTTTATACACATGTCTATTCTTTCAAAACGAATTGCTTATGTTTCTTTCCAGTTTATTACAATCTTACCCTGACGATAAGAATGTAGGAAGCATAACGAATGACGTCTAAAAAACATATGATTTCATCATTTCTCAACAAACTTATCAGACAATATCATATAAGTGTTTTTAAATATCAGGACAACGTCAAGTTTGTAGGAAACTACCCAAATTCATATTGAGAAATCTTGAGAGCATGGATGTCTACGTGGTTGAGAATTTTTATATGAACTACACTCATATGTATTTTGGTATTATTTAAGGTAGCAGTGTAAAATAAAACAACGGTATACATAAGTCTATGTATTTCCTTTTCTAATAATATAGTAACTGATTCATATTCTATCTTGAAAATTAGTACATCCAAATATTGACACTAAATCAATAGTTATATAAGATTAATCTTATTAAATAAAAAGGAGATCGTATTTGTTTTTTTTGTTTTTATCCTCTTTCGTTCGGTCATACGCATACGGTTTTATTTTGTATAAGTCATAGAAACAAATAGGACTATTATTAATCGTACAATAGTCAACGAATGCCATACTTTTTGCCATTTTCTCCTGCGCTTGTCTTCTTAATTGGGTGTGGGTGGGTGTGGGTGTGGGACTTGGGTGTGGGTGTGAGGTGTGGATGTGGGGTAGGTGTGGATGCGGGGTGGGTGTGGCTGTGGCTGTTGATGAAGACACGACACATGCACACCCACACCC